ATAGTTGTTTTCAAATCTCTGTCTTATCTTTTCATATACTGTGGGAAAATAGCATTGAAGATATCCATTCATAGTTGTGATTTCCCTTGCCAAGTAATTCATTTATAATAGATGATTAAATATTTATAGCAATTATAAATTGTAGGCATGAAAAACTTAGAATTATAACTTACGGAAGTAAAATTTGAAGTAAAATTATTCAAAATAGCTTCTTCTTTTTTTTTTTAACCAATGTTTTACTTGAATTTCCAATGTTATAGCCAAAGGGTAAGCCATCAACAGCAGCAACAATGCATGTAAGAAACACATAGAGGCCACCTTTGTAATGTCTTGCACTCTCCTTGGCCTTGCAAATGGTAGAAACAACCCACTCCTTGGTCTCGCCAACAGCAGCAACTACCCACGCCTTGGCCTTGCCAACAACAGCAACTACCCATTGGCCTTACCAACACTAGCAACAACCCACCCCTTGGCCTTACCAACACTAGCAACAACAGCAACAACAATAGTGGCAACAATCCACTCCTTAGCCTTGTCAAAAGTAGTAACAATCCACGTCTTGACCTTGCCAACAACAATGACAATGGCCACACCAACAACTGCTAAAGACATGATCTCCTATTTTAACACGCACGGCACAAACTTTGCTCTTTGCCTGACAAAATCATTTTTCAATGTAAATGTGAGCTGGAAATATTGCTACTTGTTTTGTTTTGTTTTTTTTTTTTTTCTCACAAAGAAATGGATAGAACATCTGGAAGAAGATGAAGAGCAGAAGCGAAAATGGAGAGGAGTATAACACTCAACTTAGATTTTCTCATTAACAATCTCTGGTATATATAGCATAAAATAAATTTAAAAACAATTCAAAAAGCTTCTTATTTTGTCTAAGCAACTTTTCTACACTAAAAAGCAACCATAAAAGTACATCTAAAACAAGTAAAAGACAACCACTTTTGCTACATGCTTGCTGTCATTTGGCAGCCACTCTGCAGTTCTTCAATCATTAGTGTTTGCATTTCAGTTGTTACTTATCGCAACTTCATGTCAGTTGTTACTTATCGCAACTTCATTTCATCAACATTTGCAACTTAGCTTGTTGCACATTTTTGCTCTCATCTTAATGCTTCATTTCCATCATATTTGCAGTCAAATTGCACCATATTTGCTGTCAAATTGTAGTTTTATTTGCTGTCAATTTTCAGCCTCATTGCTACAATTTCATGGCAATTTCATTTCATTTCAATATTTTACAGATTTGAATGCCAGATTTCTAATGATCTTTCCGATGGTACTTAACATACTTACATACAAGCAGTCTGTTCATTGCATCCTGGGTAAATTGTCCCAAACTATTTCTTATATTCTTTAACAATACATAATATTAGAAATAAAAATAAGTATTTTTTTACAAGAAGGGTAGTTTTCTCTTAAGTTGCTCCATGCTTTGTAGTAGTAGTTTTAGTTGATATTTATCTTATGATTAAGATTTCAAAATCTTATTTAGGATAAATAAATTAATGTGTTATTTGCTTCATTACTTTGATCTAACTGCTTTTCGATTCGCTAAATAATTGCTATTGAACAATTTTTATTTCCATGTAATGGGTAATTCCTTAATGAGTTTATTTATTCTAGGATTTTATTCATCTGTTGTGATGATTTGACGCTTGCCAAAATATTAGATCTGTAATCTTGGATTGAAGTTAAGAATGAGGTTTTACACTGTAAATTTCGAGCTGAGACATGTCTAATATCAATGTGGCTGCAGTTGTTAGTGCTTTGGATTATGTGGCGGATCATATATATGGACTTACGAAGAGTTTAGTCTATGTGCCGGAAGAGTTTAGTTTATGTGCCGGAAGACTCACGAGGAAGAAGATGATGATTTAGCAGCAAGAGTTTAGATTAGCTCCAATTTTGGTGTTTAGATACAATGGCAAGCCAGCATTCGATCCGATTGCATTTTTCGGGGAGATTCATTTTTCCCGCTACAAAGAGTGTTTCGAGGAGAAGCAGAGTGTTTTTGTATTGTGACAACGGTAGCACCACTAGCCGGTCATGCGTCGTCAGCATTTTAAAAAACTTTTATGGAGGTTTTTTTTGGCAAATGGGGAAGAGGAGGGAGGAGTAGAAAGAGACAAAAAAGAAAAAAAATATTTTTAATGGTCCACTAATAGATCAGCAAAAGTGGACCAAAAAAAAGTCCAGATGGACTCAAAATAAGTCCAACAACGGCCATGTAAGCAAACTTTGAAGAAAGATAGCGTTTCAGTTAAAAAGGGGTAATGTGCCACCATCTGAGGAGTTTGGGGGTTCATATGTGACTGAATTTCGTTGAAGGGCTGATTTGCCCTTTTTGCCTATGCTTAATTCTTCTGTTAGGGGAGACAATGTTGCAGCATACCGGTTGAAATTTTGGTTAACCCATCACGAGATCAGGAAATTAATGAAATAATCAAATGCATCACTACAAGAAAGAAACAAAATTTACATAAATTAATGAAAATTAAATATGCTTTGACAAAATTTTTAAGAAAAATGTCTTTACAAAGAATACACTTTGTACCCAGAAGAAAAAAAAAATAGAAGGGAAAAGAAAAGAAAAGAACACAATATAAACTGCGATGAAAAAAACTCGGGAGTTATCTATTGAATGTTCCTAATTTGCTCAGAAAATGCTAACATCATGTCTCCAGTAGAACTACCCTGTAGCAATCGAAATGACCCAAAAGCATTGTCAAGAATTGGCTATTAAGAGTAGTACGTAATGACAAGTAGTTAAGAATTACAAAGCTAGACCAAGACTTTTTCATTTTGTACAATGCCATAAATAGAATTGAATGGCAAATATTTAGAGAAATCTAAGAAAGTCATTCCACGAGCAAGAAAACAAGAGACCAGCTATAAATGCTATAGATAAATTAACAACCTATTAGTATGAGTGAAAATAATTTAATTTTCTTAGAATAAAGTCTCAAGTTCGAATTTGGAGAATAAAAAACAAATACCTAGAGAGTTTACCTATTATGGGTCCAAGTCAATTTAATTCCAAATTAGTTAAAATTTAATGTGCTTTTTCGCATATTGAGAGGTTTAGTTAAATAAATAAATATATGCTACAGATGAAGCCATACAATCTTAAGTAGAAATAAACTAAATAAACTTTTCACAAGAAATACACCATCGATAAATCCTTTACCCCTAAGAATGAGATCAACCATTATTATCTTTGCCCCATGGATCCTTATGACCTCAAACCATAAACCAGAAGAGAATAATTGTGTGGTTTCAAACTATTACAATCTATACTTATTTATTTTTTATATATTAAAAGAAAAACCATTCAAAGTAAGCATTAACACGTGTTAATTTAATAAAGCTTCTTAGATTTATAGATTGTTTGACACGTGGCCTATCTTTCCCCTTTTGGAAAGATATATTCCCTGTATCCTTCCTCTTACTCTTCATTTATGACTGTTTGAATATTTTATTATTCCTCAATTCAACCAATGAAATCCAAAATCTCTTCACCTCCTCCTTTCTGTTCAAATTTCCAAATAAATTTGGGCAAGGTGATT